GCAACAGAGATTTTACGTGGAAAACTCCTTGGCCCTAATCAAGGAGAAAAACCACAACCACAAAGATTTTAGGAAAATATTCTTTACTAAAATAGGGCAAAGGCCTATTACAAACTAAAGACTCTTATTTTAAGTTCCTCAACTAACTCAAAGCCCCAAGCAACAAGTCATTCAACCTGTTAGCCATCTCTTTCTCTCTTCTCTTCTCCTAGCTTTACTCAAAGCTAAAACAGAAGTTCACTCAAACTTCCCAATTCCCCAAAATACAACTCGAAAGAATTAACTCTAGTATAAGAAAATAAGAACACTCTAATTCACTAGTGTGGAATTGGACTCTTAACTCTGTTAAAGAAAATAAAAGATAAAATCTATTTGAGCAAGCTAGGGTAAGTTTTTCCAACTGAAATAACCGACTATTTATAAACCTATTTACCTTAGGAAAAATGCTTTGTGCAGCTTAACCTTAACGCCACTACTCTCTACCCACTAAGGGGGTGTTTGGTTTATCAAGTTGGAATGGATTGGTATGCAATCTTATACTAAAGAGGTATGGATTCTAAAACCCATACTATTCCAAAGTTGTTTGGTTTTATTGTCGGAATGAGTTCCATCCTTCATTAATAGAATGGATTAGGAATCTTAGGGGGAGGGGTAGGTATGGGATTCCATGGGTATGGGGGGGGGGGGAGGGAGTTAGAACCCCTTAGGTATGAGATTCCATTACTAAAAAATCTCAACCAAACAAAAAAGTACATGGAATGGATTCCAACTCCATTCCAAATGATCCATGCAACCAAACGACCCCTAAGCAGATCATGTCCTAAAATTAAGGACATGAACTCCTTAATGCGCAACCATGACATGGAGTAAGTCATGGAGAGTAGTCCGCAAGTTTTGGAAAACTAAAACTGATTGTATTTTGCAACATATTTTTCGAATAAAAAAATATAAAATCTTTTCCATACTTTTCAAAAAGATAAGAATTAAACCAACTGTTTTCCTGAATTTAAGCAACACATAAAATTATCTTTTAGACCAATTCCACACAGCTAATTTAGAGTATGAACTTAATATTAATACAGTTAGAAATTTAGAGTGTGGTAGGAGAGAGCCCTCTCCTCTATAAGGAGAGGTCGCAGCTGATAAGCCACGGAAAGCTTCGCCCGCGGCCTTATGTGTTGCGCCTGCGGCATGGGCGCGGCAGCCATCTCCAGAAACTGAAGGAAATATGCACTTCCCTTTGTCTGTGCCCGCGGCCAGCCGGCTAGGCCCCGCCTGTGGCCCTGGCAGCCGCGCCCGCGGCTCAGCGGCAATTGCAATTTATGTCGTTCTTTTAATCAAATTGAACGAGCGAAGGGGATAAACCAAATATAATTTTCAGTTTTCTTTCTTCCCAAAAAGAGTCTCTCTCCACAATTTCTTTGAAGAAACTTGCAATCTCTTCTAGAAATCCTCTATCAATTAAGTTTGTTTTGAGAATTTAATCATCTTACTACAATTCTTAGTGCGAAGATTGTATTGTTTGTCTATTGTATCTCAAAGTGACTTTCCGGTTTCAACCCAAGTACCGTGGTGGCATGGGGCAAATAATCACTTTAGGAAGTGTTTACACGCCTTAGACGAGTATCCGGTATTTAAGACTCACGTGGTCCATGGTATTCTCATGTTCTTGTTGAATTTGGTTTGGAGTGAGGCAAGTGTGTATCTTTCATACTTGTAGTTTAGTTTGATTTCATTTGTAATTTTTATTTTAGACTTATTTTGCTTGGATTGTATCAGTAATTGAATATTTACAGACATTGTAATTTTCTTAGTTTCCCTTTTTGTTGTACTAGAGTTTGTACAAGTAGGAGTATTTCCTAACAAATACAACATAAAAATATTTTAGTCTTCATGTTTCTGTGATGAAGTATTTACTCCGACACTTCTGTTCCTTTAAAGGAACTTCTCTTCTCTGGTGAAGCTTCTACTCCGAAACTTTTGTTCTTAAGGGGAACTTCTCTTCTCAAGGCTCCAACTCTGAAGCATCAGTTCCTGTGAGGGAACTCTTCTCTTTTGGATTACTTTGTACTGTGCAGTGCTATCTTATTCCTTATGGAATCTTCGCAGGACAACTCAATTCTCCTAGTCAAAGCATCTGATCACACTCTTAAACAATCAAGCACTTATTAGTAAGCAAATAAGCTAGGCTGAGTCATCATCAAAATCATAAGATCAACAATATTCCCCCTTTTTGATGATGACAAACAAACCAAACTTATTTACAAGGAAACAAAGGTAATCCGAAACTAAGCAAAAATAAACACTAAGAAGCACAAATAAACTTTATTTACATATACCTGCTTGTAGAGAATAGACAGGTTGTGAAGACTTCGAATAGAGACCATAAAATGATTAAGTTTCATTGAGTTTGCACCTTTTCCCCCTTTTGGCACTATTAAAAACCAACACACTTTGCAAAATATACCATAACACAACACCAATCAAAGTGGTTTTGTTGTTGAGACAGTAAGCATGCATAGAGAACAAATATTCACAAAGCATATATGCATATTAAACATAGACATTAATCATCTAAAACCGATTTAAAACATCGGCCAATTGTACCAAATTCGCAAGTATAGTAAAAGATAAAGTACCCAATAGTTATAGACCAAAATAAATTGTTTCCAAAAGTAGAGATAAATAAAATAACATCAAAAGGAAAGGGGCAGCAGGATAGGATAGGATGAGAATCAAGAAGCAGTGCTCTGGTCATCATCTACAGCAAGCTCATCCAACTTCTTGAGACGTGAGACACCACATCTTGGACAATGGATAGCTTGGTCTTCTCAGTGCTTGTGACCAGCTTCTTCATGTCTCCATTCAGCTTAAGGAACTTAAAGTGCAAGAGAGATTTTACGTGGAAAACTTCTTGGCCCTAATCAAGGAGGAAAACCAATACCACAAAGATTTTAGGAAAAGATTCTTTACTAAAATAGGGCAAAGGCCTATTACAAACTAAAGACTCTTACTTTAAGTTCCTCAACGAACTCAAAGCCCCAAGCAACAAGTCATTCAACCTGTTAGTCTTCTCTTTCTCTCTTCTCTTCTCCTAGCTTTACTCAAAGCTAAAACAGAAGTTCACTCAAACTTCCCAATTCCCCAAAATACAACTCGAAAGAATTAACTCTAGTATAAGAAAATAAGAACACTCTATTTCACTAGTGTGGAATTAGACTCTTAACTTTGTTAAAGAAAATAAAAGATAAAATCTATTTGAGCAAGCTAGGGTGAGTTTTTCCAACTGAAATAACCAGCTATTTATAGACCTATTTACCTTAGGAAAAACGCTTTGTGCAGCTTAACCTTAACGCCACTACTCTCTACCCACTAAGCAGATTATGTCCTAAAATTAAGGACATGAACTCCTTAATGCGCAAGACCATGACATGGACTAAGTCATGGAGAGTAGTCCGCAAGTTTTGGAAAACTAAAACTGATTTTATTTTGCAACATATTTTTTGAATAAAAAGAAAATAAAATCTTTTCCATACTTTTCAAAAAGATAAGAATTAAACCAACTGTTTTCCTAAATTTAAGCAACACATAAAATTATCTTTTAGACCAATTCCACACAGCTAATTTAGAGTATGAACTTCATTCTCATACTTACATAAATCCTAAAACATAAAAATATTTTAGTCTTTATGTTTCTCTAATGAAGTATCTACTCCGACACTTCTGTTCCTTTAAAGGAACTTCCCTTCTCTAGTGAAGCTTCTACTCCGAAGCTTCTGTTCCTTAAGGGGAACTTCTCTTCTCAAGGCTCCAACTCTGAAGCATCAGTTCGTGTGAGGGCACTCTTCTCTTTTGGATTACTTTGTTATGTGCTATCTTGTTCCTCATGGAATCTTTGCAAGACAACTCAATTCTCTTAGTCGAAGCATCTGATCACACACTTAAACAATCAAGTGCTTATTAGTAAGTAAATAAGTTAGGCTAAGTAATCATCAAAATCATAAGATCAACAACATTTTCCACCGGTCTAAAAAGGAGGCTAGCTACCCACTGACTCAAGATTACAAGGAGCTAGAATACTTGACTCTCTTAATCAAACTAATACAAGAACTAGAAGGGGGATTGGGGTTATAGACACTATGAACTTCTTGACAAAGAAAATAGGGGGATCGAGAAGTTTCATCGTCGGAATTAGCCATAAGCTGCTCCAAGCTTGTTCCCTAGCGTTTCTTGATCCTGCAAAAACAAAAATTGTGGTACCTTTTACCTTTATCGTTCTTCACCCTTGACCTGATTGGCCTTCCATGTTTTTGTGGCTTGGCAGAGAACGTAAAGGTAAAGCATGGTGGAGAAGATTTCACATGGTCGAGATCAACAGTCATGGAGTCTAGGTCATTAGAATCTACGGATTTCACTTCATCGATGTCAGTGGTGGTTAAATCTTTTGCAGGTATCTCGCTGCCCTTCTCGATATTTGACCCCTCATTACTGCTAGAAGTTAGGCTATTGGGTGGTTGATCATCTAACTTCTCAACAGCAGCGGTGTTGGGCTTGGGGAGGCCAACAACGTGGCTGACCACGGCAACATCAAGAGGTCGCTTGGCCTTGTTTCTTTTTCCCTTTTTATCACGACTCCTCTTTTTCAGACCCACCATCCTAGTGGGCAAGGACAAGGTTTCTGGAATATTGTAGTCCTTTGCCTTGTGAGATTCAGCTCGCCCATCACAGTTGGTCTTTTCCTTTACACGTACAGTTATCCATGAAACAACAGAATGTTTGAAGAAACTCAAGGTTTTCCCTTAGCAGAGATCCAAATAGGTTAACTCGGAAATCTTAAGGGGCTGATTACTTCTCGAACCGTTGAGGAACACATGAAATTTCCTCGGTCCCTTGTCCTTAGCTTGTCTAGAATCTTGGTTAAATGGAGGGCTAGTAGAATCATTGTCCCCTTTCTCCAAAGGGGTGAAAATCATTGGATTTAGTGATAAGGCTCTCTGCTGTCATCTGATTAGTGCCATGATGGGTAAAGTCGTAACATCACTCTGAACGTCGCTACTAGGCAGCCTGTTAGACTCTAGACTAACATAAATCTTTCCCTTTTTGTTAAAGATGGTGTCGAGCAAGTTGGAATTCTTAGTGCCCCTTTTGCCCCTGATGTTGCTAACTTTGCTTCTCAACCCCTCTTCCTTCTTTAACTCACGAAGGATGTCCAGGTTTTTAGTCTCGGCCTTAGCTGCTTTGCCAAGGTCTTTATGGGCCTCTTCAAGTTGATTGAGCTTGATTTCGGCTAAAGCCTTTCTATAAAGGGCTTTATGATTGTTACCATCAAGCATAATGACTAACAAGCATAGCTCCTTAGTGTGTTCGTAATCACGAACTTTTAGAGCGCAAGCTGCAAGGTTTAACTCAAGGGATATGGCAAGGTTCCATAGAAGAGCACGATCATCTTCATCTTGTGGCAGAACAAAACACAGAAATTTTAGTCCTCTGTCATACTTAGCCCTAGCAAGAACGACTTCACCTTCCTTGAAGTGAGTATTGCCCTCCTCCTTCAAGACCTTTGCTTGATTAAGGATGTTTTGAGAACAATTATTTTTAGCAAAGTTTACAATACTTTTGTCATAATTTAATCATCGTTCAAGTGAGTGTGCATAAGGGTTCTAAGTAAGAATCGGCAGTCCATAGTAGAACTTCTAAGACAAAGAGGGAAATAAACTAACTACTTCACAAGAATCGAAAGCACAAAAGGCAGGTCCAAGGAGAAATCAACCCCTCAGAGAGCACCACACAACAAAGAAGCGTCCAAATCAAAATAAGCTGCGCCTGATTACTAGTAAGGTTTTGCAGAATGTTTAAGCGGTGACCGGAGAACCACCACCAAAACAGAGAGTAATGTCGCGAAAAAAGAGGGTGGCCAGGGACAACACTCACGCGAACACGGCAGGAGAAGGTGGGCTCAGTAGCTCGTCCGATGGTCGGATAGCCAGAATGCGTGGCCCCTTGCTTGCAAGGTGACGATACCCATCGTGAATCCCACCGCGAAGAACCAAAAATCGCAAGCCCCTTCTAACTAGCAAGCACCTTCTCGGTACTACGAGGGTGAAGCTCTTCTGCAATTTGGGAAAGCTGGCAGCAAAGGACTCGCCGACGATCAAGAAGGAAGACCACCTACTCCAATCGCCGACGGCCCGCCTGGGGAAGCAAAGAGTGGCTGGTTTTTGAAAAAGTAGGGGCTGGAAAACCAGTTTTGTTTTTTGGGTTTTTTGGGAACTCGTGCATGGGGCGCGTTCTAGAAGAAACTTTTTGCTTGCTTTTTTTTAACCACATCTATAATCTTCTATAACTAATACTAAAGTAGCAACTGCGGATGTTAGCTTTTTCAAAAGCTGTACACGTGGCGCTACCTCATGAAAAATTTTTCCGCTCAAATGTTAAGTCCATCTATCTAAAGGGGTTAGGGATAGGGATAAAAACACCCACTTATCCCTCCATTTCTATAACTAAGGGGGGTGGTATAAGGGGAAAGGATAAGAAATAGGTATTAAAAGACCAAATTACCCTTAATGAAATTGAAAGGGTAAGGAGAAAGGTAGAAGTTAGTAAGAGTATTTTTATAAATTTATTACTTATCACTAATTTGTTTCCCATACTTACCAAACATGGGATAAAAATTATTTATCGTTGTCCCACCTATCAATCCCCTATCTTTATCCTCCCTTCTTATCCATCTTATTTCTATTTCTCTAACCAAACGCTCCGAAACTATAGTAGAGTTTTTTTTGGAGGGAATTTTTCCTCCTAAACTCTATTTTTTTTCATTTAGATTTTTGCAGAATTATTAATGTGTCTAGAAACTTTACACTTTAATTATTTATTATTATGATGGACTTTTAGATCACATTTTTCATGATACTTCTATATTTAATTTAATTACCATCATTAAATATCGAGCATGGTTTGGGTATTATCTAGTTATCCCTAAAAGATTACCTTATAATTTATAATAAAAAAAATATATAACAAATAACATTCCCCAAATCAGGTTAAAAGTTATTCCAAAATTGATTAAGAGTTACCTTAGGCTGGCCTTGTACCTTTAAATTTATTGTATATCAGGTGTAACAAATATGCATGGGTAGCAAATAATGAACTCGTACACAGTAGCAGTATATTGAGTATTTATAGTGTGAAAAAAAAATGTTGGATATTTTATTGGATACAATATACTCCCTTCGTTTTGTAATAATCGCAACACTTTTTTTTTTCCTTTTCATTTAGTCATAATGGCTGCAACACTTCCTTATTTGGTAAAGATCCACTATTATCTTATTATTTATCTCACACCAAAGCCATTTACACTACTTTTGATTTATTATTATTATTATTATTATTATTATTATTATTATTATTATTATTATTTCTCTCTTCTACTAACAATTTAATATATCCCTGCATGTCAACTATACTTTATATTATAAAATTTCTCCTTTGGTCCTCCCTCCCTATACTTTCTCGTACTTTGTCATTTGTGTCCACCCTATTATTACGATTATTACAAAACGGGTGGAGTATGTAATAATTATGAAACTTCGATATATAAGAAGTAATTATTGCAATGTTTAAATAAACAAAGGAAGTACAAGCAAAGATATAATTTAGTGAGTAACTTTATAACGAATATAAGCTTATAGTATAGAGTAAAAAGCGGGTAAAAGTTTTATATATTATTATTATTATTATTATTATTATTATTATTATTATAAAAATAACAAAAACCTACAAAGTCAATCGAATTACAAGAAATTAGTGGGGAAGCGAGATACAATCTGGACCCCCACCCCCCTTGGTATAGGAACCTGATCCTGTTGAAAATCTGAGCAATTGTACGAGCACCAATATCCTGAGTCTTAGAGATCGTTGTTATTATTATTATTATTATTATTATTATTGTAAATCGAGGTCTGATTCATTAAATTAGTAATGTCTTAAGAGAAAACGTACAAACATACTATCTAGTTCAAAATTACCTTAATCTACCTTTTTTTCTTGAAAGAAAATTACCTTAATCTACCTTTCCACAAGGTAAATTGAATTATTGAAATATATAATATATAATATATTACCTATCCTTTTCGCATAAAAATATCAATTTATTAAGAAAAGTTCTACGCACAAATGTACAATGCAAGCTATAAAAAGTCTATAAAAATGGCATGCATGTTTAAAAATTATTCACAAGATCATCTCATTATGTATTTGACAAGAATGTGGTTGTTTTTATGTATAAAAATTGACATTCCGTACCTCTTGTGTGACCAACTAAACAATAACATGATTTTGTTTCAACCAAAGTCAAAAGTTATAGGCAATGTGATTCTAGTTTGTCTACTAATTAACTAATTAAATAATACAATAATTTTGTACGGAGAATTTTTTTTCTAAGTACTCCGTATATTTTAAAGATTTCTACCTTGTAATCTTGCATGCCTTCACATTTTTCCTCTTTCTTATTTTCTTTTTTCTTATTAATTTATTTTATTTTAATTATTTTTAATAATTTTGGTGGGGTCGGGTTGGGTATTGGTTTCAGAAAAGAGAACAATGGAAAATAATAGTCAATCAAATGATGAAGAAAGCAAAGATTGGGTAGCTCTTAAAATGTTATTAATGAGTCAAATTATTGCCAATGTCATGTGTTATGGCTAACATCATTAGTAATGGATTTTTTTAACGTTCCTATAAATCTATAATCATAAACCCCAGTCAAGCCAAAAGGGATGGATCTTATATAGTTCTTAATTTAATTAAATTAGGGTTAGTCACCTAATATCCTTTTACATAGTTTAATTAACTAGAATATATTCTATACTTTGGTCTAATAAAAAAAAATAATATCTTGCTCATTTTCATGATATATACTGAATATAGAAAGGGGCAAAATATTCCATCATATCCAAATAATGGTTACTAATATAGATCAACCTTATTGTAAAACTTTGCATATATGCATGCACTTGATGATATCTATATTTAAACTAGTTAAAAACCTTTAAGCATGAAGCACCTCAATGTATAATTTTTTGAGCTCCAAAAATGTTATACAAAACCAAATTTAAAGGCTATATAATACACGAAATTAAACAAATTTTGGAAATTTTGAGATCCGGTGTCGAAAAGTTACAAGATCGTAATGGACATATCTCGAATACATATAATGTATTTTGAAACCATGCATATATGCTCATTAATCAGTCACATAAATACTCATGGTGTCTTTGAATCGATGAGAGAAGGTATATACGTAAATGATTAATATAATCCACGCTTTTGGACGAGGTTTTGGGACCTGGTATTGAAAACTTTCAAGATGGTATATATGTAGGAGAATGCATTCCAAGGTCGTACAATATTTTTTAGAGCCATACATGAAAACTAGTCAGTCACGTGAAGTCCTATGATGACTTTGAGTTGATTAAGAGAGAAGTGTACATAAACGGCTAAATTGATTATTTAAAGGAAAAATGGATTATTGCAACCACCTAGATGTCTTGAGGTTTCATGAGGTCCATGGAAAGCGGCACCCCAACCTTCTCTCTTTTAAGACCCTGAAAAGTAAACAATTGCCCAAAACTAAAGGTTATAATGCCTTATTATTCACGCTTTTAACCCAATTTCTGAATTGTTATTATTTTTTTTTTTTACATTAAACGAGATGAAGAAAAATCCATCCCAATCTATAAATAGTTTGTTGAGTTCTAGAATCAAAGTTTGCTTAAATTTTCCTAAATATGATCGATACAACACATGAATTGATTCTTAGGTGTGGAGCCTATTGTTGCAACAAATTAGACATATAACATCAAAACTAGGTCAACCGATGGTACATTCTATTTACCTATATTTTTTTTTCCTAATCTTAACTTATTTGATCTTACAATAATTGTGAATTGAAATTAACTTGTTAAATTTATAAATTGAAATTATAATTTATTTTTCTAATAAAAAGCAAATTCAAGACGAGGATACATCTTAACTATTCAACAAAAAAAAGTTATAAAAAAATGTCTAAAGTCAGTCATACCACATTTGTTTATTTATTTGAGAAAAAAAAAAAGAGAAGCAAATAGCTAGTACAAAAGAATATGTAACCTTTTTTCTTAACAATGAACCCTAACCTCTTAAACAACATGTATACTATTAACTTATAAATTGAGTAATGAGAACATTATTTATATAAATTAGTACTACTATAACATTTTAATCACTAACTTCAAATATTAAAGTTTGAAATATAGAAACTTGTTGTAAATTGCAAATGAAACTCAAATAGAGTGTTTGCTCTTTAGCTAAATTTACACTATCGAAACTTATTATAAACACAACACATTTTATGGCAAATTGTCGCAAATAATATGAAATGGAGATAATATATAGTTTTGTTCTACAGCCTAAATAACTCACTTCACTTCGTATTCTTGACTCAACATGTTATTTCAAAATCATGCAGCCTAGATGAAATGTATAAAAGGAAGGGAGTAAAAAGGCAAAGAAAACAAAGCCTAATCAATGCTAAGGTTGCTAGCCCCTGACAAAAAACCAATGAGCGCCCGTCTCTCCCTGTGTCTGGAACAAGAAGTGACAGTGAGCGTAGGACAAAGGGAAAACACCTGGTCCGTGAAATTAGTGAATAAGTAACTCTGTAATCTTGTAGTATGCTTCTTTCATTCTTTCAACTTTCACCTTCTTTCTTTCCTTTTCCCTCCTTGCTTTTCTTTTCCATAAAGTTACATTACATTTCATTACATTACCTGTTTTGGTCCTTTGCAATCAATGTGTCTCTTTCTTTTTATTTCATTTCATAACCAACAAAAAACAAAATAAATTAAACCGCCCTTTTATGTTACTATTGCCCCAATTTCTCCTTTGATTTTGCTTTCTTCAAAAGTTCCACTTTCAGCTTTCCTTTTTTAACACACATATATGTGCACATTTTCACTTTCAGCTCTACTTTAATGGGTTTTTTTT